GCGGAGGAGGAGGAGGCCGGCATGTCCGGGCAGCAGCAGCAACAACAGCAGCAGCAACTCCCGGCGACGGCTCCTCAAGCCCCGCCGCCGCCCCCTCCTCCGCCCGCTATCGCCGCCACCACCACCACAGCCGCCACTGCCTCAGTTGCCGCCGTCCCTCAGTCCCTCGCTCTGCTGCCTCCTCCCACCCCCAAAGCTTGGAGGTTCCCCGGCAAGGGGGAGGGAAAAAACTTTCACTTTCGTGCGTCCCTCCCGGCGTGACGCTGCGCGCTGACGTCACGGGGCGGGGCTTTAATGGTGGTGTGCCGCGAGATTTTTTTTCAGTAAACAGGTGTGCCGTTGCCCAAAAAAGTTTGGGAAACACTGCTCTACTTCACACGTAAAGACATATAGAACGGGGAACGGCCTGTCCAACAGATTCACCGGTGAGAAGACAAAACCTTTCCCCCATCAAAACTGGTGTGATTAGCTGCGTTAGGCTGCAAAATACCAATTGGAACGGAGCACATCTGATTTTCCCACTGGGGTTTCAGCACTGAGACAGTTGCATCTCATATCACCAAAACACGGACATATTACGACAGAAAAGGTGGCCTGGTCAGACACTGTGATTGTGAGTGGTTATTCAGAGTGTGGCTACTAGATATGGCTCAAACTAATGTACAGTTTGGTTATCAGTACATAAAAATGGATTTCCTACCAGTCACGGAATTTGAGGGCAAAGTCCCATTTGCTTTGGGAAGTGGTTTTACCCACAATGTAAGTTTAATTGAAAATCCATTAATTTTCCCCAAATAATTTCTCCAGGTGAAGCTAGAAAGAGATGCGTTGCAGAATTTGGGGGGGGAATCTTACGTTTGTGTTCCTCAAAGTTGAAACACACGACACAATATCCCTACAAAGGATGGTGAAAATTGGAAGGGGTGGGGCAGGCAGGAATATTTTAAAAATTCTTGGAGTTTTGACATGGGCCGTTTAAACTATAATTGCATGTGTCCTTCCTGAGCTGCCCAGACCACTTTATTCAAAAAGCAGCAACAAAATACACTTACAAAAATGAACTCAAGAAAGCCTCTCCTCGCAGCTTTACGCAAGGAATAAATACTGTCAAAGGGTCTCCTCACAAGGTTACAATTCCATTGAGGAGATCACTTTCCCCCCGGAAATAAAATTACAATAACTTACCGGTATACCTGGGGAAAAGTAATGTGCCATATCACTTACTGTATGGATTATCACAGGCCACTTTGATAATGAGCAACACAGACCCTTCCACCCCACATCTGAAAACAAGTATTTAAATTATTTTGGGGATATGCATCTCCCACCATACACCTCCAGCACAAGAGAGCTCACCTTTAAATATTATTAAACTTACATGGTTTTAGCAGAAAGGTTATAAAGAATTAAGTAAAAATGGATTGTTAATGGGTCAAAGTGTAAAATTTAAGGATAAATTGCGTTAAGATAAATTATGGAACAAAATCTGAGAAAGAGGGAAAGGACTTGCTGAAGCAACTAATTGAATTAGAATACAAAAAAGGGAGGTGTGAGGAAGTCAAGGAAACAAGTAAATGAAAGATAAAGATATGAAAATACTGGATGGGTTTTTTTATTTAAATGTTTTTGTTTTTAAATGTTTTTGTTTTTTCTTTCTTATTGCTTTGGTGTATTGTTTTTTTTTTAATTGTATTTTCTTTTATTTTTGAAGTATTGTAACTTTTTATTGTCTGCTTTTCTTTTCTTTTGTAATTGTTAAACTTTAATAAATATCATTTTATTTTATTTTTTAATAATTTTTATTGGGTTTTCACATTTTATAAAGACAAAAACAAAACACATAACACCAAAACAAACATAGAAAACAACAACAACAACAAACATGAATAGTTCCAAAAAGTCTTATTTTCTAACCCTAGTCCTTGACTTCCCCCCACCCCCTCCCTTGCATCCCTGTTCTCAGGTTTATGTCAGCAAGTTAGCATTTCTTCCTTCTTAATATTAGTCCTTTTATAGAAACAAAAAATAAGTTTTCCCTAAGTTGGACCCCAATTCTCTTCCCTCGATTTCTCATTTTTTCTTAAGTAATTTCCTTATTACTAAACCCCTGGTCTTGAGTGTTGTTTAAGTTTATGCTTCCCTCCCTCCCATCCCCGCTTTGCGTCCTTTCCCAAGACATGTCCAAAATAACAGTTTTTAGCCTGGATTCCGCACATCCGAGGCTCTCAAATCTATTTCAGTCCCTCTCCGCCGGTTTTGTTGGTAGTCCTCTTTGTCAGTCACCGAGTCTCGAAAGATTTCATTAACATTCAATCCAATCAGTCCATAGTCTCTTCCCATATTTATAAGCAACTGCTGAGGAATTTCCACAAGGCCTGAGTCTTGGTGATGGTCGAAATCAAAGTCTATGTGGAGGCCCCAATTGTACTTCTTTATTTCGAGTTCCTGAGTTCCATAAACTCCCAGGGCCTCCACTTTCATCTTCTGTATCTTTCGTAGGCTTGGAATAGATTCCATCCAATGGTCTCCTTGTTTGTATTCTCCAAATATCGGCTTCTGGTTAGTATTTTCCCACATAACTTGTTCTCTTTCTTGTTTTGTCTTCTCCTCTTCTTTGTTTATTATTTCAAATTCAGCTGTGGGTTCTTTCTCATTCAAGTCCTCATTACATTCAGCAGAGCTACTTGTTTCCAAATCCAAGGCCGTCAGTTGTTTACTCATAGCTGTAGTCTGCTCCTGTAAGGTTCCCACCAGTGAAAACATCCTTTCGATTTCTCTCAGTATCTTTCCACCCACAGCCATTGTAATTCCACAGAATTCCCCCTAGAGGGAATCTGGTTACTGGATGGTCTTTTCTCCAACAATCCTCTGTCCTATTATTGTTTCTTTGTTTCCCAAAATTTTAGTTCAATTGTAACTCCTTTTTATCCGGAGAGGTCTTAAGTAGCAATTTTTTCAGTATTAACAGTCCATTTGACAGCTTTGACAGCTGTCAAATTCTGCTCCTCTATACAGGCTCCAAAGCAGATCGCTCCCGGGCTCGGGAGGGAGGGTTGTTTACCACAAAACAAAAACTCTTCCAACACTCCACTCTCCTGCTTAAATTTGCTTTTCCAAATCTTGGAAGTTACTGTCTTTTTTAAAACTCACCCTTTGCAGGGTAGGCACTCCAGCTTAGCTCTTATATCGTTGCTCTGGATCGTCTGCAAGGGGGGGGGATGGGGACTTCCTTTTGGCACACCCCCCCGGTCGTCTCAAATTCAAAAGGTAAAAGTTTTTAAAGCTCAGTTCCAAATTACTCACGGGTTCTTTTTTTTCAGTCCGAATTTCAAGGAAGGAAGTCAGCGCTCTCCAGTTATGGCTCGCGGCTTCGCTCAGCGGCAGTAGCGATCGACTCTCAGTGCCGCGCCGTCCCCCGTATCCCCTCCATAGCCTTTAAAAAGGCTCTTCGCGAATCAGGGGGGGCGCTTAAGGCACCCGCCGAGTCTTAGTCCGCAGGCATCTGCACCTGCGGTTTTTAAGGGTCCCCGTGTCGCCGGCACGGCAAAGACCCATCCACCGCTGAGCCGATTCCCTCCGGAGCTCGGAGGGAATCCGCCATTCCCGGATCGCGCCAACCCGGAAGTCCCAATATCATTTTAAAGGGGGGGGAAATAAAAATAAATAAATATTATTAAAAACAGCTAGGCTATCCATCCTTCTCCAAGGTGTACCGCCATTTTGAAACAACACCACAAACTTTCTCTGGTGGTCTTGCCTTCTCCTTCTCCTGCACTGGAGCCAACTTCTAGGCAGGTTTCTTCTTCTTCTTCTTCTTCTTCTTCTTCTTCTTCTTCTTCTTCTTCTTCCTCTTCTTCTTCTTCTTCTTCTCTTAAAGAAGGTGGAACTATCAGCCTGGTTATACCTCAGCCAGTTATGTTTGAACAACGTTAGCACCATTCCTAGGAACTAAAGGAGTGAACAGCACGATTTTTGAGTGTATTGGATAAAGTCAGATTTTTGGTGAAATTGTGACTCCGCGGGTTAGGGATTTTTCGGAAAAAATTGTGGCTGCACGGGTTAAGGCGTCAAGAGCTGGTTTTTTGGCCTATAATAAAAATCCTTCTGTTTCCACTGCCAAACCTTCCAGGAGAGAACTTGCAACAGTTTGGCACCATTCTTGAGTGAATTGGAGAATGTCAGATTTTTAGTGAAATTGTGACCCCGCGGGTTAGGGATTTTTTCAAAAAAATGTTTTTCTGCAGGGTAAGGCGCTGAGAGCTGATTTTTTTCGGTCTATGATAAAATGTTCTTTTTGCACCGCCAAACCTTTAAGGGGAAAATTTGCAACAGCTTGGCACCATTTTTGAGTGAATTGGAGAATGTCAGATTTTTTGTGAAATTGTGACCCCACAGGTGAGGAAGTTTTTTGAAAAAATTGTGACCGCACCGGTTAAGACATCAAGGGCTAATTTATTTATTTTTTTGGTCTATGATAAAACGTGCTTTTTTCACTACCAAACCTTGCAGTGGAGAATTTGCAACAGTTTGGGAAGCTCCCAAATGTATAAAGCAGATTTTGTCTGATCATATAGGTAAAGGTAAAGGGGCCCCTGATCATTAGGTCCAGTCGTGGCCGACTCTGGGGTTGCGGCGCTCATCTCGCTTTACTGGCCGAGGGAGCCGGCGTACAGCTTCCGGGTCATGTGGAGAGCATGACTAAGCCACTTCTGGCGAACCAGAGCAGTGCACGGAAACACCGTTTACCTTCCCGCTGGAGCGGTACCTATTTATCTACTTGCACTTTGACGTGCTTTCGAACTGCTAGGTTGGCAGGAGCAGGGACCAAGCAACGGGAACTCACCCCATCGCAGGGATTCAAACCGCCGACCTTCTGATCGGCAAGTCCTAGGCTCTGTGTTTTAACTCACAGCGCATAGGAAGTTCCTAAATACAACATTGCCCTGTTTCATAATAAAATATCCTGCTTTTATATCTTAACAAAGAGTCCTTCAAAAAAATATTTTAAAGTGCAGGAGACCCGTTGCTGTTTAGTATTGCTCTGATATAATGGAAGCATAAGATACCTGCAAAAAATCATCTGCCTTTTGTGTTTTCAAATATCTAAGAGACAAGACACACAGAACAGGGAAATTTACATTTTCCAAATTCTCATTACTACAGTTACAATGCAACTCTCTTTTTTAAAGTAAAGCAAGAGGTCAGCTGCGCCAACTGAAAACATCCTTCCCACATAAAAATCAAAAAAACATATCATCAATTAAAGCTGCAGCTATTTGTATAAATACAACATCCAGACCTCATCGGCATTTACATTTGCTCCTAAAGGCACACTTTGGTTCACAAATTCTGCTGTACATAAAAATACTACAGATTATTACATCTATTCCTGTATTATTTATAAAAAAGAACGACTGCTTCTCTTCCATGCTGGCAAATTCAAGGGGGGGTTATTGAAGCACTGAAGGGGATATGAAAAGCAGGGGATATGTGAAAATCCATTATGTGCTTCTGGAAATTCCTGTTTTTCCCATGGTAGACAATTCCTCCTGATTTTTTTCGCAGAATCAAATCACAAACGCACAGCAATTATTACACCTGCATCCATTTAGCCACATTGGTTTTCAAGTCACTAGCCCTCATGAGTTCTGTCAAGATGAAAAGGGCACTGGAAAGTAGGGAACCTGCCTGCAAGCACCTTTTGACAACCTGCAGGTAAAGAGAGAAAATAATTCAGTCAGGATTTTTTACCGTGCAGAACAACACTAAGCAGAAACAAGCTCCACTGTGTTCACTGCAGTCATTTCCAGGTTTGGAGGACTGTGTTCTTAATAAATCTGGGTCCCATCCTTCCTCCTCCCATCATTTCACAGAATCATGCCAATGGTCATTATCCCACAAGTCATGCAATTCCACAATCCTCCGCAACTCCTATTCAATGACGCTGTCATCTGCACATGTGCAATGGATGTCTAAATTGTACACACCTCAGCTCAAGTTTTTGAATTGGGTGGAAGCTGGTTTGAGGGAATGTGAATCAATCAGCAGTACAGTGGTACCTCGGGTTAAGTACTTAATTCGTTCCGGAGGTCCGTTCTTAACCTGAAACTGTTCTTAACCTGAAGCACCACTTTAGCTAATGGGGCCTCCTGCTGCTGCCGCGCCGTCGGAGCACAATTTCTGTTCTCATCCTGAAGCAAAGTTCTTAACCTGAAGCACTATTTCTGGGTTAGCAGAGTCTGTAACCTGAAGCGTATGTAACCTGAAGCGTATGTAACCCGAGGTACCACTGTATTTCTCAAGAAATGGCAGGATGCAGATGGATTGAGGCTCACATCTTGTGTACTCTAGTTTCAAACACCAGCAAAGGCTGTGCACTGGAGTCAGAGTAAAGCATAATGTGTACACACTCTGAATCTCATAAAATACATGCTTAACTGTGCCTTCCCATAGCTAGAAATCTGCAGTTAGCTAGAACATAATAAGCCCCGCAGAACACACTAGCTGGTATTTTAGGAAAACGTTGACTAGCCTGAGCTCAGTTGGTTTGAAGACAAACAAGCTAGCCCAACCATTTTATTTGACGCCTCAAATAAGCAAACCAAGCAAAGAAGTAAATACCTTCATGCAATGTCTGTCTCTAGAATATCATCTGTTTTAATAGGCAGCCTCTTCTCAAATGTCATCATTTCTTCCTCTCTCCTCTTCCTGCGCCTTTTTTTACAGTAACTTGAAAAGCAAATTTGCAAATATGTGTCATTAAGCGCACATCTAGTCCGTAAAATCAGAACAGAGAAACACGCGCCACTGCAACACACACACCTTAAGTAAAGGTAATGGTACCCCTGCCCATACAGGCCAGTCGTGTCCGACTCTAGGGTTGTGCGCCCATCTCACTTAAGAGGCCGGGGGCCAGCGCTGTCCGCAGACACTTCTGGGTCACGTGGCCAGCGTGACGAAGCTGCTCTGGCAAGCCAGCACCAGCACAGCACACGGAAACGCGGTACCTATTTATCTACTTGCACTTAGGGATGCTTTCGAACTGCTAGGTGGGCAGGAGCTGGGACCGAAAGACGGGAGCTCACCCCGCCGTGGGGATTCGAACCGCCGCCCATGCGATCGGCAAGTCCTAGGCACTGAGGCTTTTACCCACAGCGCCACCCGCGTCCCAACACACGTACCTTAAATGTATTTTATTTCTAATACATCTAGATCATCTTTTCAAGTACATTCCCAAGTAAGAAAGCAAGTGCTTTCTCCAAATGAAATCAATGACGAAACCTGTTGTGCTTTGGCAACTAAACAGACCGTTGCCATAGTATTCAAACCCCACAGAAGTTAAAGGAATGCGATGAGCCTTCATGTGGCGACTCGTCATGTCAGGCCAAAGCAGTCTTATATGCTTCGTTTTGCCACATAATTGTGGAAGACTTTGAGGAAGGAATGGGACCCGGGTGGGGCTGTGGGTTAAACCACAGAGCCTAGGACTTGCCGATCAGAAGGTCGGGGGTTCGAATCCCCGTGACGGGGTGAGCTCCCGTTGCTCGGTCCCAGCTCCTGCCAACCTAGCAGTTCGAAAGCACGTCAAAGTGCAAGTAGATAAATAGGTACTGCTCCAGCGGGAAGGTAAACAGCGTTTCCGTGCACTGCTCTGGTTTGCCAGAAGCAGCTTTGTCATGCTGGCCACATGACCTGGAAGCTGTATGCCGGCTCCCTCGGCCAGTAAAGCAAGATGAGCGCCGCAACCCCAGAGTTGACTGGACCTAGTGGTCAGGGGTCCCTTTACCTTTACCTTTGAGGAAGGAACCATCGTTATTAGCCACTCAGAGGAATAAAAGGGAAAGGGAAAGGACCCGGGTTTCCATGTCATGTGGCCAGCATGACTAAACCGCTACTGGTGCACGGAGGACTGTGACGAGTGTCAGAGCGCACAGAAATGCCATTTACCTTCCCGCCACAGCAGTACCTATTTATCTACTTGCACTGGTGTGCTTTCGAACTGCTAGGTTGGCAGGAGCTGGGACAGAGCAACGGGAGCTCATCCCATCGTGGGGATTCGAACCGCCGACCTTCCGACCAGCAAACCCAAGAGGGCGCTGTTAACAGTGGCTTGCGGTGACATTTTTCGTAGGGGGACAGTTAGGGTCAGAGGCGCATCACACCTCCCTCCCTAAGCCGGGCAGAAGCTTCTTGGGCTTTGGGGATGAGGTGCGTGCCAGGGGAAGATTGAAGAGACTAGCCTAGTTCCCCGGGCTACTGACCTCAAACCACTGACTATTAGCTTATCCAATCCAGCCTCAGGAGGGCTTTGTTTGCATACTGACAAGAAACACAAAGGATATCAGTCAGGGATCAGAATGCTCATCCAGGCTTCCTTTTGAGCTGTGCTTTACAGGCACAGGTCCACACTTAATAATAATAATAATAATAATAATAATAATAATAATAATAGGTGGTGGTTGTTGTTTATATCCCGCCCATCTGGCTGTGTTTCCCCAGCCACTCTGGGCGGCTCCCAACAGAATATTAAAAACACGAGAAAACATCAAACATTAAAAGCTTCCCTAAACAGGGCTGCCTTCAGATGTCTTCTAAAAGTCTGATAGTTGTTTATTTCCTTGACATCTGATGGGAGGGTGTTCCACAGGGCAGGTGCCACTACCAAGAAGGCCCTCTACCTGGTTCCCTGTAACCTCACTTCTTGCAAAGAGGAAACCGCCAGAAGGCTCTCAGAGCTGGATCTCAGTGTCCGGGCACAACAATGCGGGTGGAGACGCTCCTTCAGATATACTGGACCGAGGCCGTTTAGGGCTTTAAAGGTCAGCACCAACACTTTGAATTGTGCTCAGTACTGGGAGCCAATGCAGATCTCTCAGGACCAGTATTATATGGTCTCGGCGGCCGCTCCCAGTCACCAGTCTAGCTGCCACATTCTGGATTAGTTGTAGTTTCCGGGTCACCTTCAAAAGTAGCCCCACGTAGAGCACATTGCAGTAGTCCAAGTGGGAGATAACCAGAGCATGCACCACTCTGGCGAGACAGACCACAGGCAAGTAGGGTCTCAGCCTGTGTAAAGCTCCATGTCTGAGGTGTTTTTTTTGTTTTGTCCCAGCACTTTCCCCAGGAAAACCCACGCTTTACCACCGAATTGGAGCAAACAGCAATCTGCAGAAAATCCAACTGATTTTGCACTGATTCAAGGGTAAAACATGGGTTTTCCTGGGGAAAGCACAGAGACAAAAACCAGCAATCAAACTCAGACACAGATTTGGAAAGCCCAGACCTGTGGCTAGAAACAAAGGAAGTCTGGATGAGCCCTAAGAGCAAGTTGCAATCTTTGCTTTATTCAGGATGTTTGAAATGTGGCTTCCTGGAGAGGGATCTGCCTGACGAAGGCTTAAACTACCCCCTCAGATTTAAGGTAGGTTGGGGGGGTAGAGAGAGAGAAGCAAAAAATTAAAAGTGGGTTTCATGTTTCTAATTGGGGGTCACTGGTTGGTCCTGGGTTTGGAAACCAAGGCCCACACAACTGACTTGAAAAGAGACAACCAACATTTCCCCTTTTAGAAATAATATTATATAACTACTTTTGTAGCATTAGGAACCGTTTACAGTCGTACTTCAGAAGTCGATTGCCTTGCGAGTCAAACGTTTTGGCCCCTGAAAAACCGCAAACCTGGAAGTGAGTGTTCCAGTTTGCAAATGTTCTTTGGGACCCGAACATCCAACGCGGGTTCCGATTGGCTGCAGGAACTTCCTGCAGCCAATCGGAAGCCGCACCTTGGCTTCCGAACGTTTGCGAAGTCGAACGGACTTCCAGGAACGGATTCCGATCGACTTCCAAGGCATGACTGTACAGTCATACCTCGGGTTACAGCCGCTTCAGGTTGCGATTTTTTGGGTTGTGGACCGCCGAAACCCGGAAGTACCGGAACGGGTTACTTCCTGGTTTCAGCGGTCGTGCATGTGCAGAAGTGCTAAATCGCAACCCGCGCGTGTGCAGAAGTGGGTTGCGAACACTGCAGGTTGCAAATGTGCATCTGTGGCGATCACACACAGGGCCCCCGGACGTTTGACGGTCTATTGACCCTGTGCCGCCACTGCAATTGCTTTTTCCGCTGTTACCACCCTGTATCTCACGGGGACACACGGAGTCCAGTCAGTTGTTAACATAAACAAATAATCAAGTTTATTTTTAAATGTACGAACAAGCGTATGGTTCCAGTTAATTTTTCTCTTGTCAGTTTCTTATTCTTAGTTCCTAACAACTCCAAACTGATTATACCAACTATCTATCTGACTCCACCTCACAATTCCTCTCACTCTCTCACAATACAACTCTACCAACCCACACCTAAACCTCCCTCTTCCTTCTTCAACTCCCAAACCTCAGCTCTCAACTCCCAAACCTCAACTGACTTTCAAAACCTCCCACTCCTAACTTTTATTCCCCCCTTGCATTCTCACTGGCCAATCACATCACACCTATTTTAACCCTTTCCTTATGACCCATCCTAGGAGGCAAACGCCACAGCATCCCACACGGATCACGTTCGCACCCCGAGTGTCCACTGTGCTGCTATTCATGTAAAACAGTGTTCCCCAACCTTGGGCCTCCAGCTGTTTTTGGACTACAATTCCCATCATCCTTGACCACTGGTCTTGCTAGCGAGGGATGATGGGAGTTGTAGTCCAAAAACAGCTGGAGGCCCAAGGTTGGGGAACACTGATGTAAAAGACCCAAAACACCAGAATCGACTCTCTGTGCTTTCGGGTTGGCATACTTACTGAGCGCAGGTGCATATACAGGCAGTCAGGACGATGAGCGTCACCATCACACCTATCAAAGACATCACCACAATCTGACCTTCATCCCCTCGCAAGTAAAACAGATCCAACCTCTCACACCTTGCGCCGGTGTAGCCTTTCTCGCAGCTGTAAAGGAGGGACAGGAGAAGTGAGGGTTGTGAGACGCAAAGGGCATTGTGTCAATGCTCACCAATGGGCCCTATCAGTGCCGGATTTACATATAAGCTAAAAAAAAGCTACAGCTTATGGCCCCACTCTCTTGGGGGTCCCCCAAAAAACGTAAAGGGAAAAACCACGACGTTCATTTCCAAAATATAAGATAAAAAACAGATAAAATAAAACCTACACACAGCAACAGTGTTTTGTGCTGTGTAGGCTCCTATGATGTAAGTAATGCTCCCTAAAATATCACTGGTTTGCTCAGTTTTATATATAGGGTGCCTACATTCTGCATGGACTTCTTAACTGTGTTTCAGTTCAACAATTACTTTGATAAAAATACATATTTTGTTAAGTGCAAATGGCTTTCGATGCCTATTAGGTCAAAATATAAACAGTTAACTTATTAAACCTCACAATAATTTCATAATTATTGTATTTCTAATAGTATATCGGTAATTTTTATATAACTGTATAATCAAATCAGTAATTTTTATATAACTGTATAAACCACTCTGAAAATTCATTATTCCAAAAATGACACTTCTTCTGGTTGTAAATATTAAGATTACACCAGCAAGAATGAGTGTTTCTGTAAAAAATATGATTTAAATCAAGTCTTACTGACGAGTGATTTAAATCGATTTGATTCAAATCAAATCCACCCTGGCAGAAACAGGGATCCTCATCTGACGACGAAAACTCTGGTTACTGACTGATATTAAACTGGGGGGAGACTTGACATCTTCACCTCTGCATTTTAACAGAAGTGGTGGCAATATGCTTTTCAAAATATTCTGATGCTCTGGAACAGGGGTCAGCAACCTTTTTCAGCCGTGGGCCGGTCCACCGTCCCTCAGACCTTATGGGGGGCCAGACTATATTTTGAAGGGAAAAAATGAACGAATTCCTATGCCCCACAAATAACCCAGAGATGCATTTTAAATAAAAGCAGACATTCTAATCATGTAAAAACAAGCTGATTCCCGGAGCGTCTGCAGGCCAGATTGAGAAGGCGATTGGGCCGCATCTGGCCCGCGGGCCTTAGGTTGTCTACCCCTGCTCTGGAATAAGCCCCAGAACTGAAAGGCAAGCTGATGAAGAACAGGCTCAGTTAGCGACTACGCCATTTCCAAAGAACCTGTCACGCCAGAATTCAACGGCAGACAAGAGACGCCTTTCTCTGTACTTCAGAAAGTCGACATACACGCATGCCGGAATCTGTTCTGCTGCAACGTAACGGCATCTTCCCTTGATGCAGTAGTGCTTGTACTCCTCAGGACATTTTGAAAAATGCCCTCTCCACCTCAGTCCTGTGGTGCCGCCTGGAAATAAAAAAAGGGGGGATAAATTAGGGCAGGGCAGTCCAACACAGGACCCTCAGGGCCTTTTGGGGCGGCCCCCAAAGGCAGGTTAAGTGAGGTGCTGGGCTTTGGAAAGGAGGCAAAAAGCTATATGCTATACAGGGGCAGTCTCTTAAAAAGCAGAGACATCACCTTGCCAACAAAGGTCCGCATAGTTAAAGCTATGGTTTTCCCAGTAGTGATGTATGGAAGTGAGAGCTGGACCATAAAGAAGGCTGATCGCCAAAGAATTGATGCTTTTGAATTATGGCGCTGGAGGAGACTCTTGAGAGTCCCATGGACTGCAAGAAGATCAAACCTCTCCATTCTGAAGGAAATCAGCCCTGAGTGCTCACTGGAAGGACAGATCCTGAAGCTGAGGCTCCAATACTTTGGCCACCTCATGAGAAGAGAAGACTCCCTGGAGAAGACCCTGATGTTGGGAAAGATGGAGGGCACAAGGAGAAGGGAACGACAGAGGACAAGATGGTTGGACAGTGTTCTCGAAGCTACAAACATTAGTCTGACCAAACTGCGGGAGGCAGTGGAAGACAGGCGTGCCTGACATGCTCTGGTCCATGGGGTCACGAAGTCAGACACAACTAAACGACTAAACAACAACAACATACAGGGGCGGAGGAAGGGGGCGGTCAGGGCGGTCCGCCCCGGGTGTCTTCGCTGAGGGGGGTGACATTTGGTGTGCCACCCACCCGTGACTCAAAAGCCTACCCTTCTCCCCTCCCCCCTTCGTTTTGACAGCTGGGGGAGGCTTGGCAGTCGCGAGCGGGCTGCGCACCAAATGTCCGCTATCGTCGGCTCTCTCCGCTCCCGGCTGCAGGGCACACGGGCCGCTCCGTGCACCCGAGCGGCTAACCCGCACCTGGGAGGGCACCTGTCAGGTGAGGAGGTGGTTGCTCACGAGTAACTAGGCAGGACTCCAAGCTGTCTTTTACAGGTTTTATTGGTGCAAACTATTTACAGTGCAGAACCCCAAAGTTCATGTCCGTCTTAGTCACTTGCAGATTCCGGGAGTGGCCCCTTCCGGTTTCTCCGCCAACATAAGAACTTAGACACCCCAATTATATAATGCAGTGTTCCCCAACCTTGGGCCTCCAGCTGTTTTTGCACTACAATTCCCATCATCCTTGACCACTGGTCTTGCTAGCGAGGGATGATGGGAGTTGTAGTCCAAAAACAGCTGGAGGCCCAAGGTTGGGGAACACTGATATAATGTATATAAATGAAAACTATAAATAATTTTTAGAAAACAACAACCTGAAGAGCGGTGTTAGCCAGTGTCGACAGCTGGTCTCCTGGCACAGGTGAGGTGCAAGGCATGGTGGCCAACAGTAGGTGGCGCCAGAGCCAATGACAGGCAGAGCTTGTCACTCTAGGAATCATAGAATTGTAGAGTTGGAAGGGACCCCAGGGGTCATCTAGCCCAACCCCCCGCAATGCAGGGATCTTTTAGGGCAATGTGGGGCTGAAACCCACAACCCTGGAATTGAGAATCTCATGCTTTACCGAGTGAGCTATCTAGGTTCATCCCCACCCTCTCCCCTGCTGATTTCCACAAGGGCAACATTGAGAATAAGGAAGAAAAAGATGGCAGCCCGTGCCACCCCCCTAGACTAGCTGTTCTTACTAAGAACAGGAGTGTCATGGTCCGGTTCACGGGTGATCGAAGTCCTGGCTGGGGACTTCGGGCCTGGGGGCAAGATGGCGGGGTGGGAGCAGGAACGAGAGTCCAGAAACCAAGGAATCAGAAAGCCAAGAGTCCGAGGGTCAGAGAGCCAGGAGTCAAGAAGCCAAGGGTCCGAGGGTCAGGAAGCAAGGAGTCAAACGCAGCAAGGCAGGGAACTTGTTGCTGTGGCAAAGATCCGAAGGGAAAATGCTGACCTTATATCCCTTCCCGGCTCTTGCCACCAGGTGCTGTGAGTTACCAATCGGCCTCACCTGTGTGGCTGTGCCTTGCCTCTGCAGAACAAACTTAGGAAGGCCCCAGTCCTGCAGAGTCCTATTGGTCACAGGGCCCGGCTCCTGCATGCACACCTGACAAGGAGGCATGCAAAGGGTAGGTGGGGCAGTGCCCCATTCATCCCAGTGGAGCAGGCTCAACTGCCACTACAGTGGTACCCCGCAAGACGAACGCCTCGCGAGACGAAAAACTCGCAAAACGAAAGGTTTTTTCGTTTTCGAGTTGCCTCGCAAGACGAATTTCCCTATGGGCTTGCTTCGCAAAACGAAGCTTGCCCCGGGGACAGCGGGTCTTCTCTTTTGAAGCAAGGGGCGGCGGGGAGAAGCGATCTTCTCCCCGCAGCCCCAGGTCCGGGGACAGCGGGAAGCGCTTCCCGCTGCCCCCGGACCTCTTTTGAAGCAAGGGGCTGCGGGGAGATCGCTTCTCCCCACCGCCCCTTGCTTCAAAAGAGGTCCGGGGACAGCGGGAAGCGCTTCGCGCTGCCCCCGGACCTCTTTTGAAGCAAGGGTTTGCGGGGAAAAGCGATCTCCCCGCAGCCCCTTGCTTCAAAAGAGGTCCGGGGGCAGCGGGAAGCGCAGCGCTTCTTCCCCGCTGCCCCGGGACCTCTTTTGAAGCAAGGGGCTGCGGGGAGATCGCTTCTCCCGGTGCTCCGAAGCCGGGCGGGGGGGAGGGAACACCTGCCCCCACCGCCCGGCTTCCGAACGCTGCTCCGAAGCGGGGCGGGGGGTGGGAACACCTGCCCCAGCCGCCCCGCTTCGGAACGCTGCTCCGAAGCGGGGCGGGGGGGCGGGAACACCTGCCCCAGCCGCCCCGCTTCGGAACGCTGCTCCGAAGGGGGGCGGGGGGGCGGGAACACCTGCCCCAGCCGCCCCGCTTCGGAACGCTGCTCTGAAGCGGGGCGGGGGGGCGGGAACACCTGCCCCAGCCGCCCCGCTTCGGAACGCTGCTCCGAAGCGGGGCGGGGGGGCGGGAGCACCTGCCCCAGCCGCCCCGCTTCGGAACGCTGCTCCGAAGCGGGGCGGGGGGGCGGGAACCTCTCACCCCGCCGCCGGGCATCTGAACGAGGTCCTGGACCTCTTCTGAAGGCAGGCGGGGCAAAAGTCTTTGCTCCCCCCGCCTGCCTTCCCGGGACAGCGGAGACTTCTCCGCTGCCCCGGGCGATCTTAAAATGCTTGCGGGCGGGAGCGAAGCGTTCGCTGCCGACCCCCAGCATTTTAAAATCTCCCCGGGGCAGCGGAGACTTCGCTCCCGCCAGCCAGCATTTTAAAATCGCCCCGGGACAGCAGGGGCTTTTAAAATGCTGGCGGTCGGCAGCAAAGCCCTCCTGTCCCCGGAGCTTGCGGGGCGGGAGGTGGGAAGAAGGGCTTTTCTGAACAGCCTTCTGAAGGCTGGCAGTGGGAAGAAAAGCCCTTGTCCCCCCCCCCAGCCTTCAGAAGAGGTCGGGGGACAGACTGTCCCCGGACCTGGTCTGAAGGCGGTTTCCCTAGGAACGCATTAATTGATTTTCAATGCATTCCTATGGGAAACCGTGCATCGCAAGACGAAAAAACCGCAAGACGAAGAGACTTGCGGAACGAATTAATTTCGTCTTGCGAGGCACCACTGTATCTATATCTGCTTGAGGATACAGTGGTGCCCCGCAAGATGAACGCCTCGCAAGACGGAAAACCCACTAGACGAAAGGGTTTTCCGTCGCGGAGGCACTTCGCAAAACGAATTTCCCTATGGGGTTGCTTCGCAAGACGAAAAAATCTTGCAAGTCCCCGCGGGGGTTTTTCGCTTTTCCCCCCCTTTTCCTAAGCCGCCAAGCCGCTTATCAGCTGTTCCGCTGATAAGCCGCTTAACAGCTGATCGCTGAAAGCCGCTAGACCGCTGTAGCGCTAATCCGCTAAACTGTCAATGGGCTTGCTTCGCAAGATGAAAAAACCGCTAGACGAAGAGAATCGCGGAACGGATTCTTTTCGTCTTGCGAGGCACCACTGTACCCCTTTGTGCTTTCCACATGTAAAGTATCAGCTCCATCTACTATTCATGAAGGCTGCGGCAACTGAAAATTGAACTACGAAGCCTGCGACAGACTCTTTGGAAACCCAACAGCACAAGAGAACAGAAAACCCTGCTCCGTTCCACTCTGGGAACTATCATCACAGGGGTTAAAAGTTAATGCTGCTACAAAAGAATGATTAGCTGTGCAGATTGTGTTACCAGGCTGAATACTAAATGAGGCTCTGCTAAGAATGCAGTCTGAACCGTGGCAGATTACACAGTCTCCACTCTTACACAGTCTCCACTCTCGACAGAGGAGATCTCTCACAGTGGGCATTTTCAAAGAGACGGTGCAAAGGCGAGGGAAACAGGTCACCAGAGGTTCACATCTCAACAGGAAACTCTGGGCGGCTCCCAACAGAATATTAAAAGCACGATAAAACACCAAACACTAAAAACCTCCCTAAACAGAGCTGCCTTCGGATGTCTTCTAAAAGTTTGATAGTTGTTTATTTCCTTGACATCTGATGGGAGGGCGTTCCACAGAGCGGGTGCCACCACCGAGAAGGCCCTCTGCCTGGTTCCTTGTAACCTCACTTCTCGCAGTGAGGGAACCGCCAGAAGGCCCTCGGAGCTGGATCTCAGTGACTGGGCTGAACGATGGGGGTGGAGACGCTCCTTCAGGTATACTGGGCAGTTTAGGGCTTTAAAGGTCGGCACCAACACTTTGAATTGTGCTCGGAAATGTACTGGGAGCCATGACGGCCATCCCCTGCTTCCATGCTTGGAGGCCCTAGTGTTTCTGTATATCGGTTGCTGGAAACAACAGGAGGAAAGAGGGCTCTTGTGTTCGAATTCTGCTTGCTGGTTTCGCACAGGCTACTGTGAGAACGGGATGCTGAACTAGGTGGCCCATTGGCCTGATCCTGCAGGCTCTTCTTATGTTGTGCATTGACTCCTATTCTAGACATCTGGAGGAGTCATAGCAATACACACATTTGGGAAGAGAAGAGATAACGTCTGGGTTAGAAGTCTGGGGGATCCTTAAGAGTAAAAGGTAAAGGCAAAGGGACCCCTGACCATCAGGTCCAGTCGTGGCCGACTCTGGGGTTGCGGCGCTCATCTCGCTTTATTGGCCAAGGGAGCCTGCGTACAGCTTCCGGGTCATGTGGCCAGCATGACTAAGTCACTTCTGACGAACCAGAGCAGCGCACGGAAATGCCGTTTACCTTCCCGCTGGAGCGGTACCTATTTATCTACTTGCACTTTGACGTGCTTTCGAACTGCTAGGTTGGCAGGAGCAGGGACCGAGCAACGGGAGCTCACCCCGTCGCGGGGATTCGAACCGCCGACCTTCTGATTGGCAAGTCCTAGGCTCTGTGGTTTAATAATAAAATAATTTCATTCATATCCCGCCCCGCCCCCCCAGCCAAAGCCGGGCTCAGAGCGACTAACAACAGTAAAATAATATAGCATTCTAAAATCGATTCATTCTAAAATCAGTTCAAAATTAAATTAATGGCAACCATTGGGCTAGAGTTCTGTGAGGATTACCAAAGGAGGGGGTCAGGTTGTGCCTTGGCCAAAGGCCTGGTGGAACAGCTCTGTCTTGCAGGCCCTGCGGAAAGATGTCAAGTCCCGCAGGGCCCTAGTCTCTTGTGACAGAGCATTCCACCAGATCGGGGCCACGGCCGAAAAAGCCCTGCTCTGGTTGAGGCCAGCCTAACCTCCCTGTGGCCTGGGACCTCCAAGATGTTTTTGTTTGAAGACCATAAGGTCCTCCGTGGGACATACCAGGAGAGGCGGTCCCGTAGGTATGAGGGTCCTAGGCCGTATAGGGCTTTAAAGGTTAAAATCAGCACCTTAAACCTGATCCTGTACTCCACCGGGAGCCAGTGCAGCTGGTATGGCACTGGGTGAATGTGATCCCGCAGCGAGGACCCCGTAAGGAGTCTCGCCGCGGCATTCTGCGCCCGGCTGGAGTTTCTGGGTCAGTCTCAAGGGCAGCCCCTGCGCCGTGATTGTACTTTCGAAGAAAGGGGAAAGGGGACTCCCATCCAGACATTCACCACGAAGAGATGGTGGAGGGCTATGTGCCTTAACTAAATTAAAACCACTGATTAAGAGCTCACCGTTAGTGGGAAAGGCGAACCAACATTTTAATCAATTTGGGAGTCTGAGATCTAGCGCAGTCTCTACCGCTGACCTAAATGGCTTCAAAACGAGCAAGATCGGCTCTCTTTGGTCTTGCGGAAGGTTCATATTGTCAGTGATTTCAGATGAAGACTCTTCACTTCAGATGCCCATAACTCTTCCTGCTAGGAAGACTAGAGTGATTTCAGCCTGAACTGAAAAAATACCTGCTGGCCTTGAATATATTCTACAAAAAAATGCTATATTTGGACATGGGCAGAAAGTAGAGCAAACTCAATCTTGGTCCCAAACAATTCTAAACATTTTAATCTCCAGTTGACATTTGAATGAGTAATAAGCTGTCAGCTTGCAGTGGTATCCCAAACTAAAATGAGACTAGCATAAGTCAGGTGGGAGGCAAGAATATATAAGGAAAGCAGCCTGCATATAGTTATTATTTATACCAGAGGTCAGCAAACTTTTTCAGCAGGGGGCTGGACTATATTTTGAAGGGGGAAAAAATGAATGAATTCCTATGCCCCACAAATAACTGAGAGATGCATTTTAAATAAAAGGACACATTCTACTCGTGTAAAAACACGCTGATTCCTGGACTGTCCGTGAGCCGGATTTAGAAGGCGATTTGGCCGGATCTGGCCCCCGGGCCTTAGTTTGCCTACCCATGATTTATACTTTTAACTCCCTGCCCTTAATACAGTGGTACCTCGGGTTAAGTACTTAATTCGTTCCGGAGGTCCGTACTTAACCTGAAACTGTTCTTAACCTGAAGAACCCACTTTAGCTAATGGGGCCTCCTGCTGCTGCCGCGCCGCCACCGCACAATTTCTGTTCTCATCCTGAAGCAAAGTTCTTAACCCGAGGTACTATTTCTGGGTTAGCAGAGTCTGTAACCTGAAGCGTATGTAACCTGAAGCATATGTAACCCGAGGTACCACTGTATACTCATTCCTTGCTCTCCACACACCCCTCTCCTTTTTAAACCCTTTACACAGATATAGCCAGGGTGGCATGATGGCAAGAGTGTCACACTACGGCCTTGGAAACACAGGTTCGAATCCCCACTCAGCCATGAAGATCACTGGGTGACCTTGGGCCAGTTGCCATCTGTTAGCCTAACCTACCACACAGGGCCTTTGTGAGGATGAAATGGAGAGGAGGAGAACCATGAAGGCAGCCTTAAACGCCTTGGAAGATAAAAGTGGTATTTACATGTAATAAGTAAATAAAATGGTTTTCCCAGTAGTGATGTACGGAAGTGAGAGCTGGACCATAAAGAAGGCTGATCGCCGAAGAATGGATGCTTTTGAATTATGGTGCTGGAGGAGACTCTTGAGAGTCCCATGGACTGCAAGAAGATCAAACCTCTCCATTCTTAAGGAAATCAGCCCTGAGTTCTCACTGGAAGGACAGATCCTGAAGCTGAGGCTCCAATACTTTGGCCACCTCATGAGAAGAGAAGACTCCCTGGAAAGGACCCTGATGTTGGGAAAGATGGAGGGCACAAGGAGAAGGGGACGACAGAGGACGAGATGGTTGGACAGTGTTCTCCAAGCTATGAACATGAGTTTGACCAAGCTACGGGAGGCAGTGGAAGACAGGAGGGCCTGGCGTGCTCTAGTCTATGGGGTCACGAAGAGTCAGACACGACTAAACGACTAAACAACAACAGTCCCTGAACCTACATCTGATTCTCAGGAACTGAGAGATATAGCCATAGGAAAGAGCACTGAGCAGAAATCTATCTTATTTGATACTTGGAGAAAATCATCATGCAAACTGACAATATTTGCAGGACAGAAAGGCTTTCAAAAACTTATTGTCAGGTTTTCTTGCCATGAGGCTGGTGTACCTAGAGATATACAGTTGCTCATGAGAACGTCAGCGTTCAAAATGGAAATGCGACTGAACATGAGTTTGACCAAGCTGCGGGAGCAGTGGAAGACAGGAGGGCCTGGCGTGCTCTGGTCCAGGGGGTCACGAAGAGTCAGACACAACTAAACGACTAAACAACAACAACAACAAGTAAATAAAATAACTTATGCCAGCAGAGATTTCCCTTAGCTGGGGTAACAGTGGGAGGAGACAACTGACTGGGAGTGGCTAATCATGCAGTGTACTGTACATCTGGATTTAGAATAGCACCTTCACATATAATCCGTATTGTTACCTGTGCAATTTCCATTTGGGTAGCCACAGGAGAGCCTCTTTGTTTCCTGTTCGGCGGTTTCATTGCCATCCCCAGTCACACAGTCGAAAATGGCAAAGCCTTCAGAGGGGGTGGGAGAAAGAAAGTAAAAACATTACACACATATATTTCAAGACCTCTTTACTCCCACGATGCTCCCACCATGAATTGGAGTCAAATTATTATTATTATTATTATTATTATTATTATTATTATTATTATTATTATTATTATTTATACCCCGCCCTCCCCAGCCAAGGCCGGGCTCACGGCGGCTAACAAGCAATAATAAAAACAAGTTGAACTAATACAACATAAAAACAAGATTAAAATACAACATTAAAATATTGAAACATTAAAATATTAAAATGCAGCCTCATCACAGGAGAAGAAAGGAAAAGAATAAATTAAGAGGGGGAAGGAATCAAATTGGCTCCAAGCCAAAGGCCAGGTGGAACAACTCTGTCTTACAGGCCCTGCGGAAAGAAATCAGATCCTGCAGGGCCCTGGTCTCATGAGGCAGAGCGTTCCACCAGACCGGGGCCAGCGTTGAAAAGGCCCTGGCTCTGGTTGAAACTAATCTAACTTCCTTAGGGCCCGGGACCTCTAGAGTACTGCTATTTATGGACCTTAAGGTCCTCTGCAGAGCATACCAGGAAAGGCGGTCCCGTAGGTACGAGGGTCCTAGGCCGTGAAGGGCTTTAAAGGTCAAAACCAGCACCTTAAACCTGACCCTATACGCCACCGGGAGCCAGTGCAGCTGGAAAAGCTGTAGTAAAGGTAAAGGACCCCGGGACGGTGAAGTCCGGTCAAAGGCGACTATGAGGTTGTGACGCTCATCTCTCTTTTCGTGTTTGTCCACAGACAGCTTTCCAGGTCATGTGGCCAGCATGATTAAACCACTTCTGGCGCAACGGGACACAACCAGAGCACACAGAAATAGCATTTACCTTCCTGCTGCAGCGGTACCTATTTATCTACTTGCACTGGTGTGCTTTCGAACTGCTAGGTTGGCAGAAGCTGGGACAGAGCAACGGGAGCTCACTCCGTGGCGGGGATTCGAACTGCCGACCTTCTGATCGGCAAGCCCAAGAGGCTCAGTGGTTTAGGCCACAGCGCCACCCATAGTGTAAACACAGGAGACTGAAGAACACTCTCCAGTGCTACTCTCCGGTCACAACCCTGCAGGTAGGAACCAAGCCATCAAAATTCATCCTGCAGAGTCTGTCCAGAAGGAAACCAAGAAATAGAGCAGAAAGATCAGGGCCATACTGCCCCTGTCCTCCTCTTTATTAAGAAAATCCATCAGAGCGGCCAAGGCTAATTCAATCTCCAAACCCAAGCAAGCATGGATCCAGGTTATCAGTCCCGTCTGCGAACGTCTGGTGTTGCTCCACCACAATCCACTCCATCACCTTGCTCAGAAATGAAGAATTTGCAACCCAGGCTGTACAGTGGTACCTCGGGTTAAGAACTTAATTCATTCTGGAGGTCTGTTCTTAACCTGAAACTGTTCTTAACCTGAGGTACCACTTTAGCTAATGGGGCCTCCTGCTGCCGCCACGCCACCGCTGCACGATTTTTGTTCTCATCCTGAAGCAAAGTTCTTAACCCAAGGTACTATTTCTGGGTTAGCAGAGTCTGAAACCTGAAGCGTCTGTAACCCGAGATACCACTGTAGTTGATAGTCAAACCTCGGTTTCCGAATGCCTCCATTATTGTACACTGAGAACCTGAAAGTAACTGGTCCGGTTTTCGAATGATTTTCAGAAGCCAAACATTTGACATGGTTTCTGTTTTGAGTTTCCCCATTGTATTGAGGCTTCCGCTTTCAGTTTTCGGGTGTCAAACGTTTCGGAAGTCAACGGTCTTCTGGAACGAATTACAGTGGTACCTCGGGAAAAGAACTTAATTCGTTCTGGAGGTCCGTTCTTAACCTGAAACTGTTCTTAACCTGAAAACCACTTTAGCTAATGGGCCTCCCGCTGCTGCCGTGCCGCCGGAGCACGATTTCTGTTCTCATCCTGAAGCAAAGTTCTTAACCCGAGGGACTATTTCTGGATTAGCGGAGTCTGTAACCTGAAGCGTCTGTAACCACTGTACGTTTGACAACCGAGGTTTGACCGTAGAATCCACTGGGCCCAGGAAAAGTGCGACAGCCTCCAGCCCCCATTTCCAATGGACTGTCTTCACTCTAATCCCATCATAATACCCGTTTCCCATCTTTCATCAACCTTCCCCCCTTTAATTCATTATTTTTCCACCAGCAACCAACGAGAACAAACTGAGGCCAAGGTTTTTAAATCAACCAGAGCTTCAGGGCTATGGAAGAACAGGAGAGCAGCCCAAATGCACTCCCCCAACAGAGGAGAAAACTGATGACGATTTATCTCAGAATCACAGAATGGTAGAGTTGGAAGGGGCCACACGCGTCATCTAGACCAACCCCCTACAATGCAGGAATCTTTTTGCCCAACCTTAGGCTTGAACCCATGACCCCCAAGATTATGAGTCTCATGCTCTACTGACTGAGCTATCGCCACTTCAGTTTAGCTTTCTGATATGATCTAATCCCGGGCTCTCTGACACACCAGGTAAGCTCAGCCTGAGATGGAATCTACCGATAGAAGACTTGGCTGTGCAGTAGAATTTGAATGGATGGATTTGACGGCTAACCAGCAGCCAGAATAATAAAGCAATTGTTGCTGAACACAAAAGTGGGGAAGGCTCTTTGCACTTTCAAGCCTTCAAAGGAACACTTCCTCCTCACAGCTCAGACTGGGAGGCCTTCACCGGGCCTGTTTCAACAGACTTCAATGGGAATCATTCCTAGGTGCAGGATTGCAGCCATGATTTAATCCATTTGCTCAGAGACCCAGAAGTCTGTGAAATTAGATTATATCAAGAATGAAATACGGATGGTTTATTTGATTTAAAAATTACCCAACAGGCATGCATACACACACACAAACACACACACATTCCCCCCTGCAAAAACCCTGGGGTTGCTGCGCTCATCTCGCTTTATTGGCCGAGGGAGACGGCGTACAGCTTCCGGGTCATGTGGCCATCATGACTAAGCCGCTTCTGGCAAACCAGAACAGCGCATGGAAACGCCGTTTACCTTCCCGCTGGAGTGGTACCTATTTATCTACTTGTACTTTGACGTGGATTCGAACTGCTAGGTTGGCAGGAGCAGGGACCGAGCAATGGGAGCTCACCCCGTCGCAGGGATTCGAACTGGCAACCTTCTGATCGGCAAGTCCTAGGCTCTGTGGTTTAACCCACAGCGCCACCCACGTCCCTTAAAGAAGAAAAACAGGTCATAAAACCAAATTTAGACTTGAAATGTGGTTTGCACACCTGAGAGAAGCAAAGCTTCAAATACAGTAGGCATGTCCAAAGTCCATTTCGGGGGCCTAATCCGGCCCCGGTTGATCTAATCCAGTCCCCATGAGAGTATATGTCCTGGGGTAAAATCCAAAAAAAAGCTTAGCAACTTCAATCCAAAAAAAAAGCTCAGAAACTTTGGGGTAAAAGTGTAAAAAAAGGTCAGCAACTTCAAACCTTAAAAGAGCTCAACAACTTTGGCCGGCCCTCACGCATGTTCACTTCATCAAATCTGGCCCTCTTTGAAAAAAGTTTGGGCACCCCTGAACAGGTATCAGCATGGCTGCTAATATCAATGCAAAAAAAAGAAATAAATTTGTTTAACATGCCTTTCAATGAATTAAATAACTGCCTACATCATTAAAAAATAAACCCACCTTCAAAAGAGGTGCCTTTTTCAGATTTCAAAGGAAGCGTAAGACTACTACTGGCAATAAATATCGTATTTTTTGCTGTATAAGACTCACTTTTTCCCTCCTAAAAAGTAAGGGGAAATGTGTGTGCATCTTATGGAGTGAATGCAAGGCTGCGCAGCTATTCCAGAATAGCAAGAGGGATTGCTGCTTTCGCTGCACAGCGATCCCTCTTGCTGTTCTGGCTTCTGGGATTCAGATTTTTTCTTGTTTTCCTCCTCCAAAAACTAGGTGCGTCTTGTGGTCTGGTGCGTCTTATAGAGCAAAAAATACGGTAAATGCCAAAAAGGGGGATTGTTCTTCTTTCAGAGGAACTTAAGAGTACCAAAACAGCTCCATCGCTGGGCCATACTAAACAACCAGCTAAAGCTCTTCCGGATTAATCTAGAGCCAGGGCTTTCTCGGCTGCGGCTCCAATCTGGTGGAATGCTCTGTCACAAGAGACTAGGGCCCTGCGGGACCTGACATCTTTCTGCAGGGCCTGCAAGACAGAGCTGTTCCACCAGGCCTTTGGTCAGGGCGCAGCCTGACTCCCTCCTCTGGCAACCTGCACAGAATTTTGCTTAACGGTTGCCATCCATTTGATTTTAATTAATTTTTAGAATGAGATGTTTTTAGAATGTTGGATTATTTGATTGTTGTTAGCCGCCCTGAGCCCGGCTTCGGCTGGGGAGGGCAGGATATAAATAAAATTTATTATTATTATTATTATTATCATCATCATCAATGAACAGTTCAAGAAGGACACTGACAAACTGGAATGTGTCCAGAGGAGGGCAACCAAAAGGCCTGGAAACGATGCCTTATGAGGAACGGCTAAGGGAGCTGGGCATGTTTAGCCTGGAGAAGAGGAGGTTAAGGGGTGATATGATAGCCATGTTCAAATATATAAAAGGATGTCACATAGAGGAGGGAGAAAGGTTGTTTTCTGCTGCTCCAGAGAAGCGGACACGGAGCAATGGATCCAAACTACAAGAAAGAAGATTCCACCTAAACATTAGGAAGAACTTGCTGACAGTAAGAGCTGTTCGACAGTGGAATTTGCTGCCAAGGAGTGTGGTGGAGTCTCCTTCTTTGGAGGTCTTTAAGCAGAGGCTTGACAACCATATGTCAGGAGTGCTCTGATGGTGTTTCCTGCTTGGCAGGGGGTTGGACTCGATGGCCCTTGTGGTCTATTCCAACTCTATGATTCTATGATTCTAAGAGCCATGCTGGAACAAGACAGTAGCCCATCCAGTTCCCATCAAATAACTGTGGGCAGGAGCAGAAAGCAGTGGC